TTGTTCAGCATGGGGGTGAGTAGAAAATGAAGGCTAATCATGTTTTGGGTGTACTATTCCTTTAAGGAAACATAGCTGGGTTCTGGTTCTGGTTGGAGGTTCTGTTGGATCCTGAAGTAAAAACCCTGAAGTGGATCCAAGTATTCCTGGTTTTACTGTAAACCCTATATTAATGATGGATTAATAATTAGCTCTGATGATAATTAATAAGGGATGATGGTTGGGTTTGTTAACAGGAACTGAACAATAATCGGAAAGTCTGGATGTAGAACAGTGTTTGATGTGTTCTGATCTTCTATCCTGATAAACTTCAGAACTGCTGATTTATCTTCTAGTTGTTAGTTTTACTTGTTCTACTCTTAAACTAATGATCAAACCCTTTAGAGGAGCAGCTTTATTCTCAGCTGATCATTTCTGAGCTTCTGTTCAGCTTTTTATGGTAATACAGGCCATGGTGGTGCATCCAAGGACCTTTCATTAATATAGTAATCCACACTAAGCTTTGTATCAAATATTTATCTTGTTCTTATCATCAAACTTCCTCCCAGCAGCAGGTCAATGATCTTGTATTTCTGATGACGTGTAGCGGCTGCTGAAGGAGACGTAGGAGCAGTTTGCTAATAATCAGACTGATGATCATTTTAAATGAACACAGATTGTTGGGATCTGGAGGTCTGTCCACCTTTCTCCAGCTGAGGGCGTTCTAGGTCTCCTGGAGCTGGAGCTGACTACCACACCAGCGGCTCGTGAGCTCATCAGGAGACCGGCATTTAAGGAGGGGCAGAGCAACACTCCGACGCCAGAGTGTTATGCCAGTTATGGTTAGCAGACCTGAGCCAACCTGCCTGTCTGAATCTCTGACTCCCCTGAAGCCTGAATCTGAACCTAATCTGTTTTTGTCCTCTCTGCTTCTCAGGAAGAACCTGCCTGGAAACCTGAAACCTGGAAGAGTTTCTCAACCGTGAAACCAAGCAGTCTGTTCTCAGGAGAACCCTGGAAACCCGAATCAGTCTGATACCTGCCTGCCCACTCTCAGAAAGAGCTGAGAGAGAAGCTCTGAACCTGCTCTGTAAGATCCACTACTCAGCCCTGCCTCTGCCTAGCCCTCTGCCTGCCTTCAGCCTCTGGACCCTCCTGGTTCCCCCCTTCTACCGCTCTGCTCAATCTCTGATCAGGTAAAGACCTGCAAACACACAACCTGCAAGTTCACTGGATGACTGCTAACAAATCTGTCCCTCTCTGCAGTGAAACCAGTCGTGACCAGACCCGGACCCGATTTATCCCAGAACCATTGCTCATTTATTGTGAACTGTTCAAATAAACTTTGTGAACTTTTTTCCCAGCCTCTGAGTGTTCTGCATGTGGGTTAGATCCCTGAAAACAAACATGACACAAATGAACTTTAGAAGCTGCTGATTTCACTGATGTTTGCAGATAACAGTGAGAGATCATGTTTTCCATCAGATTTAGTTTGGATGATTTATTTTCCATCTAATAGTTGAATCAGCATCATGACTTGCCTACATGTGCATCACCTTAAGCTCTGCAGAAGCACCAACTCTGGTTCACTAATGTGACACAAGGTGATCCAGAAAGATTTAACTGGATGCAGAACAACTGATTTTAGCTCCAATATCATCTAACAAGATCATTTCATCTCATCACAATAAAACAATCCTTTGATTATTTCCATTTTTTAGCCTCCATCACTCACTGCTTCACATGTGAACACAGACATGTGAGAGAAAGAGTTGTGTTCACATTAATATATTGGAATGAAGTTAGATTAAACTAATTAGTGGAACATTTAGAAACAGCTCACCGGTTTGCTGATGGAGGTTGGTCTGATTTAAAATAAATAAAGTCATCCTTTGAGTCATTGCTCTTTAAAGAAACACAGCTGGGTTCTGGTCCAGGCTCTGGTTCTGGTTGTTTCCTGTGAATAAAGATGGTTTGGTGATGTTCATGCTGAGCTCTGACATGGAGAAGAGTCCTGGACAGTTAGAGATGGTGATCTGACCTCTGAACTTTTCTCTGGTCCTCATGTTCTCCACACACAGTGCTTTTAGAGGGAGGGACTCTGTCCTCTCTGTCCTCACACTGATCCATGCTGCTCACTTCACATCAGCTCACAGACCTGCAGCTGCAGCCAAGAACACAGGATAAAGCTACATTAACTGATTCCCACCTGTAGGATACAGTAGCTGTTTACCATCTATTACAGAAGTAAAGATGTGACACTAAAGTATATCGAACATTAAAAACTAAAACGAAGGACTGATGAAATTTGTCATAAATTTAAAATTTTTTTAATTAATTAAATAATAATAGTTTGGAATTAAAGTGAATTAATTTCAGACTCCAACACAAGATGTTAAAATATTATTCAAACTTCTTCCTGCATTATGGCCGTGCTACGGTGGTGCAGTTTTAGCGAGCATGACCAATGTATGGAAGCCTTAGTCCCCGACAAGGCCTTGAATCCGGCCTCTAGTCCTTTGCTGCATGCCTCTCCCCATCTCTCCTAACATTTTTCAATTTAGCCCACTTTGCAAAAATGAGCTTCTAGTGCCGCAAAAGATACTTCTTAGTGCATCAGAAACTCAGAACATCTGGACCTGATGTGGTTCTAAACAAGCAAACTAAACAGATGGATTTTATGCTGTATTAAAGCTTCAGACAGGGACATACAAGGAAATGTATATTTTAATAAAACTGATATTTAATAACATTGATGATCTTATTATGAAAGGCTCCACAGGAAGCAGCTGCACTGCTTGTCGTTTGACATTAAAGGAGAAAATGAAAGTTTGATCTAAAGACCTGAAAAAGAAGCATTTTTTAAGTGAAGTACAAACATTATCTGCTCCTCATGTTGACTGTTTCAGAAAATAATCTAGTAATCCAGGAGATTTTCCTTCATTTACAGTATTTGGTAGAAATTCAAAAAATATCCACTGGACATGGTTTCCAAGATTTGAAGACGTTTCGCCACCTCTCCAGGAAGCTTTCTCAATTCAAATGTCTGGATCCACAGTGAGTTTGAGTCTTATATAGACAAAGCCTTGTATCTCTTGGAAACATGCAAATGGTAACCAATGAATGGGTCGTTTGGTTCCATCGTTAGCCGGTAATAACTGAAACCTGTCTATTATTCTAAAGGTTGTT